ACGAAAATGTACACATTATATGGAAGAGAAATAGCAGGACACTCAGACACCACCTATAACTGTGGCACCCAGGATAATTATCATTAACACACACTTCAGTTTATATGGTTCTGGACCAGATTTTGAGACGTATATCACTGAAGCTCTGTCTTTTGCTTTCTGCCTTTACTGACTTACTTAGAAAGACCTATCCTGCACCTCCATGTCTATGTATCTACCTCTATTTCATTCTGTGTTTTTGTGTTTCCTTTTTTTTTTTTTACATTTACATCTCTTATCCATCTGAAATGTATCGTGGCACACAGAATGGGCTAGGGAATCTAACTATTTTTCTCCAAATGGTTGGCCTGTTCCCAGAAACATTTTTCAATTAATTCACCTTGTCCACTCTCCATTGCTTTGAAATGCCACATTAGCACATGAGATCAGAATTCAGGCTAGCACCTTCTAAATTCTTACATACATAATTTGGGGGAGGGGGGGATTCTCCTACTTATAGATGTTCTAATTATCCCAATTGTAATCATAAAAAAGCAAAAGCATAATACAAAGATATTCACTCAAAAACTAATTGGCCACTTATAAAATTAGTCTCTACTCCAGTATCTTTCCACATTTAACACTAGAGGAATCCCCATCTGCTATCAACTTTTTTGTATTGGTTCACCTCTCACCAACTGTTGGAAACTGTTGCAAATACAGCATAAATGGGCTGCAGAGGGAAATTACAAACCTTGCAAATGATGCAAGATGCAATGCAGTTAAAGTGTTATTAGAGAACTGCTTGTATCACATGCAAGGACAGTAAAATCTGGCAATTGAGGACAGGAATAAAGATGCAGATGTAGAGAATGGACTTGAGGACATGGGGAGGGGGAAGGGTAAGCTGGGACAAAGTGAGAGAGTGGCATGGACATATATGCACTACCAAATGTAAAACAGATAGCTAGTGGGAAGCAGCCACATAGCACAGGGAGATCATCTCCTTGCTTTGTGACCACCTAGAGAGGTGGGATAGGGAGGGTGGGAGGAAGATGCAAGAGGGAGGAGATATGGGGATATATGTGTATGTATGGCTGATTCACTTTGTTATAAAGCAGAAACTAACGAACCATTGTAGAGCAATTATACTCCAATAAAGATGTTAAAAAAAAAAAAAAAAAAAGAAAATCTGGCAATTGGTCCAGTTAACAATGAAGAGAAGAAAATTGGCCAGAATGATGACATGATAGATGTTTCTGAAGAAAATGGTTTGCAGATCAAAGAAAGATCCCTAGGAAAATGGATAATGCCTTGGAATATTTTTTCCTAAAAATTACCTTCTTTGTGAAGGTGCTAGTTAGGCCAAATTTGAGTGTCCATCATCATACCAGAAACAAAGCAAAAACGAAAACTTCACGCAATTTCTTCATTGCTGTCTCTAAGAATTGGCACAAAATTGCAGGTATAACATAAATTTTGGCAAATATATGATAAACTTACTGTTGATTTTAACTTTACTCTTTTTCAAACAAATCTTTTGTTTTCCTAATGAAAACAATGAAATGTTGGTTCCAGTTTCAGGTAGTCTTTTTCTGATATCAATTAGTCTCGAACCTTCCATACTTTAATCAATCTAGCAATCTAAGGTAAACCTCAGCCTCAAGCACCTGCAGGGTTGCAGCAAGTAACAAACAGGTATGAGAAAGCCAGCTAGGCAACTAAAGGCATTCACATTCAGATTTTTTTTAAAACACTACCCTGGTGGCCCTCTGTAACTCTTGTTTTAAGGGTAGAATACATACCACTGAGATTAGGAAAAAGACATTTAATGAAAATGCAATATTCCCCAGCTGAAAGATGTGAATACAGAGGTACAGATAAGAAAAATACAAGTTTGATGGTTCGGTAATAAAAAGAATACCCAATAAAGATTAGGCTAAATCCTGATAGAGAAGCTGAAGGTTGATAAAGGCAAGCAGGAGAAATGTGAGGCAAAGAAGTCCATAAGGTAATTCCCAGTGGGAAAGATTTTCAAATTCTGGACACCAGGGAGGATGTTGTCATCATGGCCTTTACTGGAGCAAAGAAAGGGCACATCCAAGGTGCTGGGTTCATAAAGTCATGAGGCTAGAGAAGACCAAGAGTTTTTTATTCTGAGATTCATCTGCAATTTAATAGGGAACATGGTAAAATTACAAACATCCCTGCCTTTTAATATCAACCACTAAGTCACTTCATCTTCCTAGCGCCTTCGTTACCTCAGCTGTTAAGAGAGGGAAGTAAACCAGATGATTTCTGAGTTCCTGCCCAGCTATTAAAAAAAGATCATGTCTGTGAAAAATGCTTGTATGCTTATGTGTTTAGTAATCCACTCCTTTCTAATATGCCACTTTACCTTCACATATTCTGAAACAACTACTATAGCTAAACATTATAAATTTCACAACTACTGGTTTGAAGCAGAAATAACTCAGAAATAATCTCTGTAATAATGGTACCATGTCACCTACTGAGATAATAAACATTAAGCACAAAGCAAATACAGGTTAAATCCTTATTATATTCCTCATAGCAAAGAAAAGAGACTGTGTGAAATTTCTGCCCTTTTCCTCCCACAATCCTAGGCCAATTTAAGTGAAAACAAGTCCAGATCAAGAATAGCTCACACAGGAGGAGGCTCTGGCTAGAAATATATTTGTACCGTGTGGTCTGTGTGGTCTAGAGGCAAGCACAGTGGGCTACAAGATTTAGATTCTAGACCTAACCCTTCCGGCAACCATGTAACTCTGGGAAAGATATTTAGCTTTCCTTAACTCCATTTCTATTTGTAAAACAGCAATAATTCTACATGTTTCTTCTACCTCAAAAACATGTTAAGTACAGAAATAAGTCTGAAAAATTTGAGCTCTACGGAGGAAAGGTATTATAGGCAATAATGGAGCATGGTAATGATGAAGAGCACTGATTTAACAAATTTTAAGAACTCGCTATCATGATTGGATATGGCAGGTGGGAGGGAGAGTCACTCAACTAAAGTCAAAAAGTGGGTCATCATTAAGTAAAAGCAAGCAATTATGACCGCGACAAATACGCACAGCCTCAATCTCTCCAACGGGGTGAACTCGGCTAGACTAGTGTGACAGGCACACACCTGGCTTCCAGATTCCTGGTTTGTGAACAAACACATTTTCCACCTTCCTTCATTTCTCCCTCCCTTCCTTCTCTTCCTCCTTTTCTCTGCTTCTTCCTTCCAAACATTCAGAAATTTTACATCAAGGGTTTCTAAGGACACAGCCCTGAAGTTGCTTCCAAATCTAGTTATTTAAACAAATGTCTAAAGTTCTATAATCAATAAATGTGACTAAAGAAGCATCGTTTCTCTCCAGGTGTCCAGGTGTTTGCTCACAGCAATGCCACCGGGCTCCTAGTGGCTGTTCCCAAAGAGGCTCCAACAAGGACGCGGGGAAGACAAGGCAGGGCTACCAAGGCCTGCACTGACAAACACACCAGCCAATCAGGGGGTCAGTCCATCTCTTTCTAAGCTTTCCCTTTTATGTATTTGGCCTTCTCCCGTGAGCCTCCTTTGTTTCTCCAATTGGCAAGAAAGGAGGGAGAGCCATATACTGATCGCTGATTATAGTGAATATTTTTCATTTACTATCTCATTAAGCCTACATATTTATTTCTTAGGAAAATCATCCTAACAGTGGACAGAGATGGATGAGTCAAGGCCCAAGGACCAGTTAGGAGGATGTTAACAAGGGCAAGATGAAGAAGACCTGAATTAAGACAAACTATTAGAACTGTTTCTAAGTAGGAAGGCAATTCTATTCTGAGATGCCATATTAGAAATATTACTTTGGAGTGAAAGTTAGGTTCTGCCTGTGTATGATTAAGGCAAAAAAATTTTCAAACCATAGAGTACAGAATCCCATGGTCCCAAGCCAGCCGTCCTCTCCACCCCAAATTTATAAGGTGAATTATGCATACATCCGTACAATGGTAATAATTATAATTTGAATTTTTTAAGTGTATCTCTGTTCCAAGAATTGTGCTAGGTGCTTTACAAACATATAATGCCCTGGCAACAAGGAAGGCATTATTATACCCACTTTGAAAGGAGAAACTAGACTCTGGAAAGTTAAGAAACATATCCAGGTCATGTGAGCAGTAACAGCAGCATGGGAGGGACGGGCAGTAAGTGTACGAAACGCATGTAAGGAGGAAGATGAAAAACTCCACACCACTTCCCACACTATGGTCCTTGCTTTAGGAGGAAATAGATGCTACCGCTGCTGCATTTAATAAATTCACTTACTTATGCTCCTTGCTGCTGCCATAAAGAGAGACACTAAGTAGAGCTAAGCGGGACTTGGGAGTTGCGGCCTCTAAAGGACCGCATGCAGCGGCTATTGACGGCTCAGCCCCTCTGACTCTGGGAAGGGCTGACTTGGATGCCCATGGTCATCACTGACTGCCCAGGTCTGGGCAACCTGGATCTCTCTCCCCTTGACACATAGAGGCCTCAGCCTTGAAGCCTGCTCATGTCTCCTGATCTCCAGTCTTTTTCTTTGTCTCTTCCCCCTTATTCTGGTGACCACAACCAGGAAAACAGCAGAAGGGATGGGACTCATCTGGACTATATTAGCTGCTTGTATTATCCTATTTACATTTATGAAATATGGTATCGTGAGATCACATTTAGTAAAATTTTCCTTAAAAATAGTTTTATTCTCTAATCCACTTTTTATTGGTTAGAAGCAAAACAAAATGGATCATATATTTAAAAGCAGAGGGAAGAAAAAAGACATACCATTTTAGAAATGTCTAGCAAGCAAATACCCCAAGAATATTTATCCAAGTGGTTACCCTGGGATATCTGAGGGGAAACGTGAAAGCAATTTTCTTGGCTATCATCACTTTAGTATGAAATGTAAACCCCAAGTACAACCACAGGCACATTCCTTTAATTTGGCCAAAGTACAGTTGTGTTTTGGGAACATGAATGGAGCTCTTACCTGGCATGACCATGGTCTGCGGAGCCGCTGCGTCAGTACTTAGGCAGAGACGTCCACCTTTGGCTAATCGATCGCACAGCAAGGTGATATGTTTCTTCAATCGGCTTGTGTCTTTGGGTATGCTCAACTGGCTGCTGAGGTTCAAAGCCTGCTCCTTGGAACTCTTCGATAGGCAGGTCTTCAAAAGGTGGGAAATGGCAGCATCCACCATTTCTTCCCAGCCCTGGATGCAAAAGCCAATTTGGAATTTATGCATAGGTGACAAATGAGCAAAGTAAGCACTTTACTGTTAATCAAGTTATAAGGTTATGAGTGTTTTTATGTCCCAGTGTTGGGGACTTGTTAAGAGCTTGGTGCCTGGAATATTCCAGACCAGTCTGGTTTTAAATTCTAGCTCTGTCAATTGTTTGAGCACATTACTTAATTCCTCTTAGCCTCATCCTCACCTACAAATGAGGATACTAATAATATGTATCTCCAAGGGTTGGGGTGATTAAATGAGATGGTATATGAGAAGCTTTTAGCCCTGTGCCAGGCATGATAATCATCATCTCAGGTGTATGTATGTTTGATGATCCAGAGAGTGAAGCCCTAGGATTATAGTTCATTTTGCTGCTGAAGGAGAACCAGCCAGGACAAGGAGAGACTGGGGGAAACTGGAATGGAGAGGAAACCCTGATGTCTCTCTCAGCTATTGGTTCCACAGCCTTGGGTTTGTAGGCCAAAACGAAGAGGAGCTTTGTCAAGAGGGATTTTGGGAGACACAAGCCTATCCAGTCCCACTCCTGTGGCCAGGTGACCAAAAGTGACACGAAGTGAGGAAGTGAGCCGTTTACCCCCATTTGCTGGGAACAGTGTGGCTGGGCTGCAGTGAAGACCATGAGGAGTGCAGTGTCACCTTAGCACCCTGCAAGCTGTAATTCTAGGGATATCTATGGTGGGCAGGGACCGCGGTGTCATCACAGAGGATTGGCATGAGGAAGCACCACCCTCAGGTGGGTGCAGATAACAACAGAATGAGAAGCGGGAGGGGTCTGCTTATGCTCTCCAAGTGGACATCCCCAGGGGGCCCCAGAGATAACTGGATATGAGTTTCGGGGGGTCTGGAGGTCTTAAGCAGCAAAATAGAGAAGTGTGAATGAAATCTGGGTATTATCGCCAATGTGATTGCATTTGTACCCAGAGGCTGGTGAGACTTAGAACACCACAGGCTTGACAATCAGAGTGAAATTATAAAGGATGATACTGAATGACTATCCTCATAGAATACTGCAGAATAGTCCAAGCCCCTCACATAAGGGGTGAGTAACCTGAGACTCAGAGAGGAGCCCCTGGGTGACTTCACTGTTGGTACCACCCTATCCTCAACCTTATCAGTTGAGCCACCTTTCAAATATGCAAATCGGATTACATTATTCCTAAACTTCAACTCCTAAAGCCAAATGCTCAGTTTAGCACATAAAGCACTTTCTGCTCCAGCTCCTGCTCTGTTTTATTCTCTCCCTGTCCATCTGCACCCACACTCTCACCCTGGCCTCTACACATGCTCGGCCCTTCTGCTGCAATGCCCTGTCTCCACTTGTTACCTGGCCAATTACTACTTACGACTCAGCTCAGGCACTGCCATCCAAGCATCGCATTCGTGGGCCCTCTCTGGGACTCTGAGACCTCACACACCCAGGTCCATCACTGTACTCCTCACCCTATGCAGTGGCCACTGTCTGCATGCCTGGTTTCTCCAGTGCCTGGAGGTCTCCACACCCGTAGCACTGTGCTTGGTCAAGAAATGTGTTTGCTGGACGGAGAGATGGTGAACTAGGATCTTAGCATTGGGAGGACTTTGGAGATCTTTAGTCCAGTCTCATGTGACGTTCCCTGGAATACAGTAGCAACCATCTGCCTAGGTATGCTTGTCCCCAAGATCCAAAATTACTATGTTTGGGGGCAGTTCATTCCTTTCAGGGACGTGTGTAACCAGCAGAAAGCTATTCCTAAACTGAGCCAAAATCTGCCCCATTGGCCCTTATTCTATCCTCCAGAGCCATGCAGAATAAATCTAACCTCTCTTCTACATGACAGCCCTTTATATCTGTGAAGACAGCAATTCTGTACCCTCTCCTCCAGAATAAACATCCTCAGTTCCTCCAGCTCTTCCTTATATAAACATGGTTTCAAGTTTTCTCTCCATCCTGACCACTTGTCTTTGAATGAGCTCCAATTTTAAACACTTAAACATTTATACAGCTAACCAGAGAGCCCCAAACTGACCCCAAAACACCAGGCTGGGGATGGGAGTGCAGGGTGGAAAGAGCCGCCCCCTGTTTACTGGGAGTTCTCACTGCCAGCCTGGCCTCTGGTTGCCTCTGCTCTCTTGGCAGCTGTACCACACTCCTGATTCACAACGAGCAAACAGATGATTAAGCCTCAGGCCTTTTCCACACTCACCACACATCTTCCTTGTAGGCTTAAGCAGCTGGTTCTTTAGACCAAAGTGCAGGCTCTGTATATATCCACTAGAGAACTTCCTGC